TTGAAAGAACTGAATCTTCTAAAATCTGAGCTATATTTGAGAAAGATCTTCTGCTGGGATTGCAAATGGGCAAAAGCCCCATACCGCAACATGAACTATAAGATTTGGTAGAGGAAATGTCTAAGCTAAAGAGCCTGTTAAACCAGCCCAAAAGTTTGTTCCTGTAGTAACCATACAGGATTTTGCAGATTGCTATTCATAGGATGAAATCACAGCAATATATTTGGAATTTTTTGTCAATTCAGATAGGCCGTTGCCTCCGTATCACTGCTGTGTTAAAGAGCAAAAGGCTTTCCTTTTCTATCCTGCATGGGACTAATGCTGGCACTGCCTATCAATACAGAAGTTTATTTTTAAATTATGGAATGTGAATTAGCTGTAATTGGGAACTATGGCCAACCCTCTATGGCTCTGTGGGGAAAACAAATGAAGAATATCTAGGTTATTCCTTATTGAGGTTTAGCCTTGCCCATTAATCATTTGAAACTTGGCTTGGTGTACTAAAAAGAAAGGCATAGAATATCTACTCTTATCAGGAATCCCTCTGTATAGCATTTGTTTTCTATCCATCTGGCTGGACCTCATGCTCAAGGTTGAAGTTCCAGGTATAATGTGATTGTATGATCTTGTATTGTAAGAGAGATCCTTCTTTGGCTCTGGAAAATGAAGCAGCAACTCCAGTTCTATTGGCCTATGAAGCAAAAGCACAAGACAAACCATTTGGGCTCAACCATCAAAATACCATACAACAATGTTATCTGGCTTATGGTCAGTTTCTCCATAATTATGAGAATGAAGCTGTGAACATATTTGTTCGGTTGCTGCTTGGTGTCTCAGTTCTAGGTTTGAAGGTTCTTGCTAACATAAAGAATTCTGAAATGGAAGGCACAACCTGGCAATGTAATTGAATAAATATTTGCCTAAATCTTCTGGCTCCAAGACTACTATTTTTCCCCCGTTGTAATGTTTTCTGTTCCTAATATTTTTGCCATTTGTGCTATAATGGATGTTCTCAACAGATAATATGCATGTTGTTTTATAAACTCTAAAACCTGATAAGTCAATATATGAAGAAATTAGGACATGCATTTTTAATGAAGAAGCAATGTCTAATCTTCTTGGGGACTTTTCCTCTTTGGTGGGGAGGGAAATTGGGCTAGGAAATTTCTTAAAATACTTTGGAAATTTATGGTTGTAAAATGAAAATAATCCTATACCAAGAATATCCTTTAAGCCAGCAAAAAGAGGATGAATGACATTTTCAACAATTTTGCAGTTTCTCTCTCTTTTAAAAGAGCTTTACATATCCCACTGGTAAGGAAAGCCTGCAATGATGAGGGAAAATGTCCTTGCTTGTGGAATATTGCTTGCCCAAGCCAAATGGTATCAGGTTGTATTTTGTATGGACTATACATAGATGTGAAGTTAAAGAAAAAAAGTGTATTTTTAAGAATATAGCTCTGGCTTGAAGTCAGCTTTACTGTATATATGCCCTAAGTCAGGGGTATCAAATTTGTGGCTCGCAGGCCGGTTGTGTCATGCATTGGCCACCCCCACCCCCATTTGAGCGAAGGGGGGGAAAGTTGCAATATGGCACGTGATGACGTTTGACACCCCTGCCCTAAGAGAAATATCACTATATAACAGATCAATGCAGAATACTGTCTTGCTATGTTCCAAATGCAAACATTATGTCAGTTTACTTAAATCTTCTTACTATTTTGGGATTGCCATTATCCAATATGGTGCATGAAATCCTTTATTAAACATGTTTGATAGTGACCAGCTTGGGGACATCTTAATATGTCTCAGATTCTATTTCTTGCTTTAATCCATGTTCACTGGTGCCACACAACTTGTCATTAGTATGCTATCTGAAGACATCACTGCCTAACATATTTCATTTTAGCTTTAAGGCATCACTGCCTACTAGTTTTCATTTTCCAGATCAGAAAAGCTATTGGCTGTTCAGTGATTTGATGGAATCTAGATGAAAATGTATCATACTAGATGCGAAACAATCCAGTTGTGTGCCAGAGTTCTTTGCTGCACAATCATCTTTGAATTATCCTGGAATATAAGCACTTAATATAATTAGAAATCCACGAAATGGTTGACCCTTACTACAGTCTCACTCTCACTATAAAAGCTTAATCTCTTAACAGGAAGTTACTTATATGGATGTGGTTAATTTTCAAGATACCAACCTAAATTATCAAATTATAAAAGAGGACTGAAAAAAAGATACTGTACATTAGATTACACTGAGCTGGATCAGTAACATACTTCCTACTATATCAAATGGTTTTTTTCTTTGCTGGTCCTAAAAAACCACAAACGCTTGTTTTTCTTGCAAGACAGCTGGTTGTTGAAATTTCTTGTTTGGTTCCCTGTGCCCACGCCAGTCCAAAATTCCTTTGGAGCCTCACTCCAAAATCCCCAGAGCAGGTTTCCACCCATCAATTAGTACTGCAGGGAGTTGAGAAGCAACCCAGGGAGGGCGGCACCAAAACTTGGCAGCTAAGCCAGAAACCAAGTTGCTTGCTCAGATGCCACAGGGAAGAGTCAAGGCGTCACAAAAAGTAACAAGGGTATTTGCCTCTTGGAACTGCTGGATAAACCAGTTTCCTGGATTCCACAGGATTGGTTCATTTCATCCAAGCAGGAAAGCCCAGGCATCTGCCAAAGATGTGAAGAGGGATGCAGTGTTATAATTCTAATCTAAAAACACTTGGTGAGCTCAGATAGTCTGATCCCTCTAGACATCTAGATCTGAACCACATTTCTCTCAGAACTGTAAGAGCAACTTGTTTGATATATCTCCTAAGTACATGCTTTTCAATTTTTTGTGCATTTCATTTGTACTGCTAGGAATTCTTAAAATCAGATTTACCTTATTTTCAAACTATATGGATGGGCTTCACGCAGCATCTTTTGTATTTTTGCTGTTCATATTCAGCAAAGATTTAGATTCTGTGTATTTGTGACAATCCAAGGTTAGACTGTGACAAACCTCATCTCTAATTACTTCAGATATTTTTCTGCTTGCTTCCCAATAGTAATAGTAGTACTACTAACAAAAGCCCTAATATAGTCTGACAAAAAAAAATACCTACGTCTGTTCTAGTAATACCAGGGACTGATATAACTAAATAAGTTTCAGTATAATTTCACTGACAACTGGGATGCCAATGTCCCTTCTATGTGGACAAATCACTGGACAGGTGGTCCTCGCTTAATGACCATTGCAGCATCTCATAGTCACATGCTCATCATTTGCAACCTTTCCAGTTAGTTTCCAATTAGCAAAGTCAATAGGGAAGCTAGTAGGAGATTGCAAGTTGTGATATGATGTTTCACTTAATGATATTGCAATCAGTATTTGACTGAGCATCAAGCAACTTAATAATAACCACAATAATGTTAATAATAATGTAATAATAACCACAATCATATACCCCTGCAAGAAGGAAACTAAATAAGAAACTTTAAGATACAGCTGTGTTAATTTTCAACTATGGGTAGATACTGTAGGTAGATAGGTAAATTGTTTGAGATATGACATATGCAGGTCTAGATTATTCAGGGAATATAGGTCAATACCAAATCTAGCTTCAATTGGAAATAGTTGGAAATTACTGTAATTTTTGCAGTAATTGGTCTAATGTGCTCTGTATTCATGACCCAAGATAATAAATCAGCCACTATATTTTGAACAGTTATTGTTTCTAAACAATACATACATGTATTACAGCAGCCAAGCTGAATATTTATTGATATGTAATTAAAATAGAAATATTTAAGGTTCACACAATCTGGTAATTTTCTAAAACAAAGAATTAACAGTTGTATTCTGGAAAAGATCCATTACAGAAAATGGCAATCTGAAAAAAAATTCCATTCTTCAGGTTGGTACAAAATAATGCCTTTATAAAATTGCCTCTCAGAAGGGCCAATCTCAACTTCTCTTCTGTTGCAACTGCCTGCTAAACTGCATTGTCCAGATTTACAACTACACCAATTGTTATATGCGTGCCAATTTGCCTTTTGCTATAACTTTGTTATTATTCATCTTCACATCTTTATCTAGCGGGAGAACATTCCCCAACCGGAACAGTGCAGCACAAAAGGAATTATAATTCCACAATTTAGTGACAACTCCTTACATTGGTTTATCTTCCACATCCATCTTGGTCAAATTCTAAGAAGGCTCCCAATTGTCTCCAAAAATGTTTGAATTGAGCAGTTCCAAGCATATTTTAACTGAGATAAAAGTAAACACTTTTAGGAAGACATCAGACTGGAAATCATTGCAAGTAGGGAGAGACCCTGATATAATTACATGGTTAACTAAAACCTACAGAATTGTATAACTATATCCTGGGTACACAATTATTTCCAGGAAAGTAAGAAATTAACAGAGAGAAACTGGCAAATAATAAATGCCCAGTTTAACAACCCTCATGATTTTCTAGAGGCTACACTGAGGAAAAATGTGAAGGTAATTTGTTTCCTGAAAACATTTTGGAATTATGCAAATGTAGTATTTGCATAAAAATGGTGCACTTCTCTCCATAAAAAAATGAACCTGTCTCTTCTTTTGGGTATCTGGTTAGAATACCGAAGCGATAGTAGTTCCAAAATGGGGTGGAGGAATATTACTGGGATGAAAGGAACACAGGATGCTTAGTGGTAAGCAAGAAGGTAACTGCTAGGAGCGATAGGATTATGAAGACACAAGGGAGGAATGTCTGTACCTCCAAGCACATACTCCAAAACATACTTTGAGCACACCTGTAACAGGTCATCAGATCTTTCCTCTGGATGGCACAGCCATACCCAAAGTACATGGTCATTTGCATACAACAGGTAATCTGAATTTAGCCCCAACATTATGGCACAGTGTTAATTTTATAGAATATTATATTTTGATGGGATGATATGAGACTGAGTAAAAAAAGAGTAAAAAAACAACAACCTTTATTCCAGGACAGGAAGTAATGACACAAAACTATTTAAATAATAGGCTGGGCTAAGACCAGTATTGGATACCAAGGGAGAAGACAAGCTATTCAGGATGTTGTGGTGCTCCCAAACTGCATGTGGGAACAGGGCCTCTATCACCAGTGAGAGGGCGAAAGCTGAAAGACTTGATCCATTTTAATTGATAATACCAAGTCTAGGACAGGTTGGGGTCACAGTACATCAAACGTTTGCCTGATCTGTTATTTCATCTTACCTGCACTGGACTCTCACTGTATAAGTAACTCCAAACTGTTTGCCGTACAAAATGGTTCACTCCAAACCTATACGTCACTTACAATTTACCTAAGCCAAAAATGGTTTGTCCCAATCAGCTGTTGCACCCTGTGTAGTTCATTCCAGGCACACCCTTCCCAATAAAAATGGTTTGCTCCATCATTAGAGAAATTTAGCAATTAGGTACGCGTAGGACGGCAGCATAAGACAAGAAGGAAGCTAATTATTAATTATTCTATTTTCTCAGATTGAAGAAAACTGACGTCTCTTTCCACGGTTCTCAGGTTAGCGTTATTTCAAGTTTCCCTCCCCCCTTTTTTCAAAGTGGCTCCATCCAATCTTCATACTGAATAGTAAAGGAACGTGCCATTCAGCGTACGGAGGGTGTCTTTCTAACCTATCGCTCGTCTGTGGTAGGAACCACCAACCACAGGGTCGATTTGTGGCGACCGCATTCATACGGGGTGAGCCGTGACACAGGCAGAATCCCGCCCGCAAACTATTCTCTCTCTGTCCCTTTAAACCGGGGCGGGGGGGGGGGGGGGGGGGGGGGTGGGTGCCCGGCTAGTTGGCCTCGTCTCCAGTTCTTCTCGTCAGCGCCGCCGGTAAGGACCTTCCGCCTCAGTCGGGGCTCGCGCCTGGAAAGGTCATCGTCGACTGCCCTGACTGGAAGCTTTTTCTCCTTCCGCTTCAGAGCGTGTCAGGCAGGCCGGGCTAATGGAGCGGTGCGCCTGCGTAGAGAGGGAGGTGGACAAAGTGCTGCAGAAGTTCCTGTGCTACGGCCAGCATTGTGAGCGAGGCCTGGAAGAGCTGCTGCGTTACGTCAGCCAGCTAAGGGAGGAGCTGGGCGCTGCAGGTACGGATGCCCCTGCCTTGGAGGCAGGGCTGCGGCCGGTTCGCATTGCCTGACAGGCGCGGGAGGGGAAGCGGTTTGGGATTGCGGTCTCCGCTTTGAACATAAAGGGCCAGGCAGATCCGGGTCTGGCTAATAATCCTTTAGATGAGAGACCACCGCGGCAATGCTACACTAGAAAGTCATCGTGTAAAAGCATCCTGGAAGAACACAATGGAAAACCACGGTTATCTTGTTGCCAGAAAAGAATGCACAGAATTGATCCATGAAACTGTAGGAAGTTGAGCTTTGCTTGGGAGATTTTATGTTACATGCTTATTGAGTTGAGTGGGCTTGCAAAATACACTTCATAAAACGAGTGAAAATTTTAACAACCTTAAGTTTGTCCTTGGTTAGATGTACAGGTTGTGAAGCCTGTTATATGAACCCAGCCCATTTAATTAATTTATGAATCAAATGTATTTGAGTAAACCCAGAAAATGAGTTAATCCAATAAAAAGTATATTCTTTGAGTCAAAACTGAGCTTGAATGAATGAATGAATGAATGATGTAATTATTGGCTGTTACAATGCAATACAATATGCAGATAATATTCAATTATCTTTCCTCCTTCAAATTCAAATGAAGCTATTGAAACGCTGTCTGTTGTTTGGAAGTTGCAAGGATCCAGATGGAGAGGAACAGGATTTAGCTCTAGCCTACCAAAACTAAGTGGCTGTAGGTTTTAGGTTCCAAAGGTCCCAAAATTGGAGAGGGTTGATCTTTGACCCTGAGCAGTCTTACCTTGCCTTGCTTGGAATCAGTGCATACTTTGGGGTCCTCCAGGACCCAGATCCAAATTGAATAACTGTCGGCAGCTGTAGCAAGGGGTGTCTTTGCATAACTTTGTTTGGTGTGCAGCTTGCACCCATTTCTGGATTGTGGACCCTGTTCATGACCACCCACATATTAGTTACCTCCCATCAGGACAATTGCAATGTGCTGTCTTTGAATATCCAGAAACTGTAATTGGTCCATTATGTGGTGATGCAAGTAGTTGTGGGCATTGCTTGTTATGCCCATCTGACACTGGCTATCAATAGCATTCTTTTTTTTTTTTTTAATAAATAATTTTTATTAATTTTCTTTTTTTTTTACATCGTAAAACATCATGGTATCAACAATGTTCTTGGCATCTATACAAGATTTTGATTTAAATATCGTAATAAATTATATTGCGTTTATCTACTATTAGGTATGGAAAACACCAAATACTCCTAATGAAGGGCTATCAATAGCATTCTAGGTGCAATTCAGTGTGCTGATTGACCTTTATGACATAGGACATAGGACCTTTATGTAAGGTCCTTTATGACATAGGACTGGCTTATTTGGCAACTATTTCCTCCCAAGGGTATTGCCCTGTCCCTATAGGCCATACTCTGACCTGGGCTTTCTTTGAAACAGTGCCATCTCTTGGGGCCCAGGAGGTATACTTTCTCTGTTCTATTATACAACAACTGGTTTATTTTCATTGCTGTCTTCCCTTAATTTCCACAATTGAATTCCAAGATACTTGTGAACAGGTATTGAAAAAATGTTGAGTATGAAAATATTACTATTATGTGGAACTGAATTACATCTAATGGTGCCTTTCCCCAAATGTGAAATACCTGCAGGTGAGGATACCATAAAATACCTTCACCTATTTATGTCAAATGAAAGTTGCAAGTAAGCACAGACTGAGCATTTAAGGGGATGTCTAAAAGTTAAATGCCACTGCTTTTCCTACTATATAGCCTTGCAGCGAGGACCTCTTTCTGCTACACTCTCCCTCGTTATGTCTCAATGCTGTAAGAAGATTAAGGACACTGTTCAAAACTTAGCTTCAGATCACAAAGATATTCACAGCAGTATCTCCCGCGTGGGCAAAGCAATAGATAGAGTGAGTATCTTCCACTAATTTAGGGGTGGGTGGGCGTTGGAACAAGAAGGAAATTGCTTTGGATTTTAAATTGGGAGCCATGAGAGTAGATGTTACCCCAATGATTATATCTTTTATGCTGTTGATTTTGGAATGCTGATGAACTAGTGAAATATGCATGTTCTATTATTTCGTTCTTTGGTAGCATAAACACTCATTTAGTACAGTACAAGAAAGCTCTTGCTCTGTTTTCTCAATCTTCATAAGCATTGTATTTTCTTCATATTATACTGAATCTAGAATATTGCATGAAAAATGGTCCAAGAGGTATGCAAGCAAATGGTTCTCCTAAATGTGACTACAGGTAGTCTTCATTTAGGGACTGCCTCATTTAGTGACCATTTGCAATCATAGCAGTGAAGAAAAAGTATCTTTTTGACCAATCCTTGCATTTACGACCTTTGCACGTCTGTAAAGCAAATGAAAGTTTATGAAGTAAGATCATAAACACTGATGTAGTTTCACTTAGCAATGGCTTCAAGTAATGATCAAGTTGCCAGTCCCAACTGTAGTTGCTAAATAAGAATTACCCATATTATGTAAAGTTGCTACCCATATTGTTTGTTGAATGCCAAATACTTGTGAAGTGTGGGCTTCTTTTATCAGAAATTAATTAATAAAGAAGCAATTTGGTTTTGAGTCATCACTGGGAATAAAAATATTAAGGGCATTAAAGTAAAGGTATATGAGGTGGGACCTGTGAACGAGAATCTCCTATATTTTGGTACAGTAGAGAAATATGTTCAACTGTTCATATCAAACATCAATTTATACTGTTTATAAGAGAGAAGCTTATTCTCATTTGACGACTACCTATTTTTCATTATAGATGGTATGGCATCTTTTAAATTGCTAGAATAATAATTTACCTTATCTTTACACCATATTTACATACTTAAAGATAAGGCAAGTTATCATTCTGGCAAGTTACTTTGCTTCTTTTCTGAAATGCAGATTGAAGGATCAACTGCTTCTCTTTCATTTTGTTCCAGAATTTTGATGCTGATTTGTGTGGCATTGTCCCTGCTCTGGTCTGGGAAACTCAAGAGAAACAGATCCTGGTATTGGCAATTATAGAACATCTCTATCAACAAGGAATGCTGGGGGTGGCTGAAGAACTGTGTCAGGTACTAATCTCTTTAATGACAGAAAATTTTGCATGGTATACAGGAAGTCCTCACTTACCAACTACAGTTGGGACTGTGAGCCCTGTCGCTATGTGGTTGTAAAACAAATCACCACAGATCATTAAGCCGACATCATGTGGCTGCAATTTGTGACTTCCTGCTGGCTTCCCAATTGACATTGCTTATCAGAAGCCAGTTATGAAGGTCACAAATGGTAATTACATGATTATGGGACTCTGCAACTATCAGAAATGTGTGCTAGTTGCCAAGAAACCAAATAATGATCATGTGACAATGACTGCAACTTTGAAAACTAGCTTAAATCTCCTTGGTCAGCTCCACTGTAACTTTGAACAGTTATAACTTTGAACTAATGGTCAGTAAGCAAGGACTATGTATAATACATAATGGTTGTAATCCTACATTATGTTATACTTTTTGATATATGCTTCAGTTAGGTTATTCAATTCTGCTGGCCACAAATTTACTTTCTTGCCTACAGTACCAAAGAAGCACCTGACCCAATTACTCTCTTCTGTTGTATATCTTTTTTGTCCCTTCTGAAATGGCTATAGGTAGTTCCTGACATATTACTGTAATTGGGCCCAGAATTATAGTCATAAGTCATTGCAGTCATAGGTTGAGGCATCATGTGACTAGACATGATTTTTTTTTTGGACATATTTTGTAGCACTTGTTAAGCAAACACCATGCTCATTAAGCAAATCCATTTTCCCCAGATGCATTTTTTTGCCAGAAACTGGAAGTAAACACTGGAAAACAGCAGAGTTCATAGCAAATTGTGGTGATGTGATCGTGAGATGCTCAAATGGCCGTAAAGGTGAGCCACTTGCCAAGCACTCAAAATGCGATCATGTCACCGTGGGGGGGATTATGGCCATCGCAACTTCAAAACTGGCTTTTAAGTAGCTTTTGAGGGGGTCCATCGTAACTTTGAATAGTCATTAAGCAACCAGTCGTAAGTCGAGGTTTACCCATAATGTTTATTTGAACCTCCATCTGCAGATATTTCCATTTCTTGCCTGCTCCTTTATTTTCAGGAGAGGGCAAGACAATTTGTTTTTCAATCAACTTCTGGTTTTTCCATGGCAGGAATCAACTGTGAGTGTGGATGTAGATTTCAAAAAACCATTCCTGGAACTGAACAGCATTCTGGAAGCTCTGCACAAACAAGACTTGGGACCTGCTCTGAGGTAAGTCTTTAGAACAGCGCACTGTTTTCCTTTGGGGAATCCTGTTTCTTTTCTTCCTGTAATTCCTAATCTGGTTATTTTAGTTTAGGTTTTTAATTTACTTTGATTAGTTTTTAATTACTTTTTACGATGCTTTGTTTCTCATCTATGAAATCTAGTACATTTCTGAGATTTCGCTTAAAAACAAGCTGCCAGTATTCATAACCTCCTGTAGCCGATATGTGAGTTTGGATCATTGCCATGTCTTTTTTTCATTATAATTACTCTGAGGACAGTTCCTTTATAGACTCTGGTGCTGAGGGAATAATGTACCTTGCCTAGCTGGGCAGTCTTCCACAGGCAGCAGCTGGCCGATCTGAACAGTACTCTGGAGTTTCAGCTGCATCGGCTCCATTTCATCAGACTTCTTTCTGGCGGGCCCGGCAAGGAGTTGGAGGCCCTGAGCTATGCACGTCACTTTCAACCCTTTGCCCACTTACACAAGCAAGGTGGGGCACTTTTTCCTTGGATTCTGCTTTCTTGCCATGAATTGATACTTCTTTCCTAGGTCTGTTGGGCTCTGCTCAGCATCCTTGACAAAGATAAAATAACATATTTTATTTGTATTATGATGGGTTTTTTGTAGTGTTTCTTTATAGTTGCCAGAACTGCTGGCTTCCATTACTGGCTTTGTTGCTTCAAACAACTCTTAATGCTGAAGAATATTGGAATCTCATTATTCCCCTTTTCTCTCCAACCCAATGGGATCCTGGAGTGTGTGTAAAGGGACTGAGCCTGTTCATGTCTCAGCAGGGTACCTGTCTGAGAACTAAAAAAAAAAAAAAACCAGGACCAAATTTGGTGTGGTGTGAAAAGCTGACAAAAGATCAAGCTTCAAAATGGTCTGATCCAGCTTGGGCCTTTGAAGAAAGGCATTCCAGAAAACTTCGCCTTCATTCAATTCATATGGGAGAAGCAGCTGGGCAGCCCTTGGAATGCTACCAGCTGCTCCATTCTTAAGCCTCACCTTCCTCCCTCCTGGTCATGTGGTTGAGTGCAGCTGGTATGAAGGGGTAGAAAAGAATTCCAGAAACTATGCTCTGCGTGCTTTCTCTTCCCAGTTTTAATAGGAGAGGTAATCTAAACTGTTGAATTCCTTGATTCAAAACAAAGGAATCATCTCCTCAGCCTGTTCATTTGTGTTGTCACCAGTTTCTTACAATTCGCTCTGAAATAGGCCTAGGTGGCCTTAATGAAGGTTATTCACTGAAATGGCACTTCCTGTATCTTGCTGAACAGAGATCCAAGTGATGATGGGAAGTCTGGTATACCTACGCTTAGGCCTTCAGAATTCTCCATATAGGCATCTACTGGATGAAAGTCATTGGACAGAGATTTGTGAGACTTTCACTCGTGATGCGTGTTCCTTGCTGGGTCTCTCAGTGGAGTCGCCTCTCAGCGTCAGGTAAAGCTTCATACAGGTGGGATTGGGGGCTGTACTGGGCAGCACCGAGCATTCTGTCTCTGCAGTTTTGCCGCAGGGTGTGTAGCGTTGCCAGTTTTGATGAACATCAAGGCTGTGATTGAGCAGAGACAATGCACGGGTGTCTGGAGCCACAAGGATGAGCTGCCCGTGAGTCACTTACCCGTTCTGGGGAAGGAACTGTAAGATGTATTGGGATTTTTGCTGAAAATAGAACTACATGCTAAAGTTAACTTTTCTTAACAGATTGAAGTTGAGCTAGGAATGAAATGCTGGTATCATTCAGTCTTTGCATGTCCCATCCTGCGCCAACAGACCACAGATTCCAATCCACCTATCAAGTTGATTTGTGGACATGTTATTTCTAGAGATGCTCTCAACAAGCTTATCAATGGAGGGAAGTGAGTGATTTTCATCAAATCTTGCTATCTCAATGAAAGTTATGGGGTTAGTAGATGATGATTGCCTGAACTATTTCAATTTCCATATTGCAGTTAGATCAGGGGTGTCAAACTCAATTTCATTGAGGGCCGCATCAGGGCTGTGGTTGACCTTGCGTGACTGGGGGGCCATAGCCAACTGGGTGGCTGTGGCCAGCTTGACACCACTCATGCTGACATGTTTCCTCTTCACACTGGGTAGACCCGGCTGAAGCAACATTTTCCAGGTTGGCCCCATGGGCTGGATCCAACCGCCTTGTGTTCGACACCCGAGTTAGATCATATACTTTATTCATCCCATATTTATACATGCAATACCATGTAGATTTAGTAAAACTTTTTCCCCAAAATATACTACTACATACTATGGCTAGCTACATTGTGTCTGCTACCTTCAGTTCAATTGTTGAACAAGGCTATTTTAAGAACTCTAAATGAAAGTTTTTCAAACTTGGAGACTTTAAGATGTGTGGGCTTCATTTCTCAGAATTCCCCAGCCACATACCATTTGGGGAATTCTGGGAGTTGAGGTCCATACATCTTAAAAGGAATGACTGTCTGACATTACTGGAGCCAAATCTAGATTTTTTAAAAATTAATATTGGGTCAAAAATAGAACCAAATTTGGTGAATATTAAGATTTCTATCCTGCTTTTTCTTCAGAAACTCAAGACATGTAGTGCTTTCATTTTTCATAACGAACATTGAAGTAAACTGGGCCAAGAACAAGCCCAAAGTCACCCAGCAAAGCTTCTGTAAGACTATACTTGACTTGGATGTCTGTGGTACCAGCACAATCCCGCCAATACTTTTATATAATAGAACTTGCTGCCAGTTTTCCAGGAGTGGGGGGCGGATCACCTTCATATTTGTTACAAAAGAAGTTTCTGGTAAGGATTTCAAAGTCCTGATTTGATTCTTTTTTGTTACATTTTGCAGACTGAAGTGTCCATATTGCCCCATGGAACAAAACCCAGCAGATGGAAAACGTCTCATCTTTTGATAATGGCAAGACTTGTTATGAAATAGGCTCTTCAAATACAGCAGTTGTGTGCAAGCAGAACTCTATAAGGTCCTGCTTAATATAACAGCTGCTATACAATGGAAGCTGATTAGTTTAGTGGGCCAGACAAAAACTTCCCAGGTTGAGGCAATGCAATATCCTGTACATATACTCCGTGTCTGCCTGTTTTGGGCTTCATCCTGGCAGCTTCAACAGGCAATGCTCCTGATGTAGAGTTTATCCTGTCCCTAGTCACAATTCTGTTTCTTGTTGGATTATACCACAAGTGCTGTATGTGGAGCTGCTATCCCTACTTTTAATGCTTACAGATTACCAAATTCTTGAAAACAGAAGTATGTTTCAGAAAAATGCAATATATCTGTGGTAAGAAAAGCATGTGGGGAATCCAGCTTACTCTTGAAGAAAAATGTCAAGTAAATTAGAATGGAAATGAGGAACAGTTGTAGGCTTGCTGGTGTTTCCTAACATTTTAAGTCAGCCTCTTTATACAGTATTGTTCTTCAGAGACTAAGAGATGAGTAATTATACAATGGAATATTTCCTTAGAATATGAATACAAATACACGATGATTTATTTAAGTAAAGAAATAAAAGCTCAAAAGCCAGGATTGATTTTCCTCCTTATATAAACAATTTATAGCATCAGAGCATATACTATTTAAATATGGTAAATCTAAAACCTGTATAGGTAATGAACAAGTTTGGTGTTAACAGCTTGTAATAAAATGTTGCATTTTGTGTATGTAAAAGGGATTTTAAATCTGCCTTTGAGATATTAATTTAGAGACATCCTTAGGCATAGATTATTCCTAATATCCAGGATTGGTATTCTCATGGACTAATCTTAAAAGCTTTCCTCAAAGTTACAGCTCTTTAGAAATAATTTTGGACAGTGCCAGCATTATTTTAACTTGGAGGCGTCAAGTAAGAAGTAGTGCTTACAACTTGCACTTTACAAAATGAGGTTGCCTTTTTCTGAAGCAAAACCTGTACTGACCTAGAGAAAGGATAATTGAAAAAAAATCAATTGCCACTATAGCCTTTAAGAGTAGCCAGAGGCTTGCTGCATGTGTTCTCAGTTCCATCAAATTTTGTACATATCAGACATCTAAAGGGGGCAGCAGGCAACATAGAAACAAATAACATGCTTTGCATGTTACCATACAATGCAATACCTACAAAATTATATTTATCTTCAGTGTAAGACTAATTTGTATAAAGAAACTTAGTCTAGCTCGTCTAGGGCTGGATTTTTTTTTTTGGAGAATGCTTCATATTTGCTTCTGCAGTTCAGTATGATCTAGTTAACAAGAGCTGAAATAACACTGCCCTTCAATAAAGGCTATAGATGACTTGTATTTTTAAAATGTTCAATAGCATTTCTGTCTGCATAAAGGAGGCAAGAGATGTTCTCTACCCCAAGCAACACAGAACACAACTTGAAGGTACTTTGGAGCACCTTTTGGGCACCAGAGACCGGTTCTGTGGATAGAGGTTTTTCCGCAGACCAGAGAGGGCATGTAATGCCTGCATCCCACGGATGGGACTTTGCTTGTTTTTGCGGGACCAGTTGCTGGCATGCTGTGGACTGGTACCGGTCCACAGACCAGGGGATGGGGACTCCTGCTTTGGAATAAGAATAAGATCGTGTGATATTAAAGACTATAGTATATTGAATTGCATAAGACCAATATATCTACAAATCTTTTTATTATTTAACAGTTCCTTTATGCTAATGGTGTAGAATTCTTTTAGGACTGAACATCGGGCAACATTTTAATACAAATTTCCAGCAAGAATTGCCACCAAAACTCTTTAAAAAAAATAGATGATTACAGCATGGCTGCCATGGTTCCTGGGCTCTCAGTAGGTTGTTATATTCCTCAATGCAACAATCCAGGCCAACTGTCGTATCAAACTGGCACGAAACTGATATTTAATCACATAAAGCCTATAGAATCCAGTATACCATATCATATATCTTGGAGTCTAAATAGCATCTGTTATCAATGTTCTTCACAAAGGAAGTGGAAGAGCCTCCACTTCCTCTAAGCACTCATTGTAAGCTTCTTGATAGTCCTCATGAGCCTTTATCATGATAACGCAGGTTGGGCGTTTTGAGCCTGCTGCTGCTCCCAAATCCTGAATGCAAAAGAAGAAAAGGATTCAGTTTCTTGGATCACACATAGAAGTCTCCCTTTTTTCAGCACAGGCTACTCATGCGTATTTCAAGATACAAACTAAACAAACCCAGTACTTTAGAAATTTGATTTTAGCCCTCCTCAGGGTGAAGATCTAACTTCTATAAAGCTTAATTCAGCAACCACACTGCAAACATCTAAGAAATGGAAACCAAATTTCAACAACTTGAGAATACATAAGGCTTACCTAATGCCTCAGAGTTCACCCTCTTGATGTGAGACAAAATGATCTTCCTAAGGTATTAAAATTTAACAAATAATTTAAAGGAAAGAGATATTAGGGATTCCTATGTTTTTGTATGACCTTATTTACAAACCTTATGCAAAAAGTAGCTTAAAATTTAACCTGGCACCTGCAGGACAAAATACATGGGTGTTAAATTCTTAAATTATCACTTCCCTGTCATTTCAACTTCTGAGCTCATGTTAGGAAAGAATTCTGAGAGACCTCAAACTTAACTGGCCTCTCATAACCTCAAGGTATTAACAAAATATGGTACTGAAGTGTTTAAATATGACGTGTACCACTTTTTAGCTGTTTTATTAAAATTCATGTATTAGTATCATATTCAACAGTTGGACATGATTATGCTGAAACTATATCTGGCATTATAAGGATCCATAGCCTGAATATCTAATATTCACTTTTTAGCCAGATTTAAACACTAAGCAATAATTTCATCTTGTAGTGCCTATTGTATAAATGCAAATGCCATTTGTCAGGGGTGTCAAACTTGTGTCAGGTTGTCGTCACACATTTTTCCCATTTGTGGAGCTGGGGTGGGCATGACCTGCATGTGATGGATTCGGTCCATAGGCCACCAGTTTGACATATATTATTCAGCAAGCCATCTATCAAATGAATCTAGCTTCTGAATGTTAATATTGTTATTGCACCCACTTGTTATATATTTAAGTCACAACTGAAAAGATACAAAATAACATACAAAAGTTTTATAAACTATTACTGGGACTTTTAATAATCAGTGACATCAGTGTCATGGAATTGAAAGAGTAGAGACTAGTAGTAGTTTTTGAGAAAAACTAAGTATCCATATCTAAGTATCTGAGACTTTGTTTACATAGGAAAATAAAATTATCATGTGAGACAAAATGCTATTGATTTTTTTTGTCCCATCTCATACACTCATTACTTTCTCAAGGACCAGCAAGAAGAAAACCTCTTTCCTTTAACCAATTATTACCGTTTTAGAAGGAATATATACATAGGGAAGACTCCTGTCTTCACACATGACGGGGATGTGGCAATAAACATCAATAGGCAATGTATCTCCTGCAAGAACTGTGATTCTATGAGAAACCAGACAAATAATGTTGGTTAAACATTGGGGACTAGTGAAACAAATTTCAAAATAATGGAAAATCTCAAATAAGTTTCTTACGGCAATCACAGAAAAGTATGTCTCTAATTTGCTCAGAATGTAACAACCCTAGTTTCTCCTGAACTTTGTATAGAAAAAGCTAATTTAAGCATTTATATTCTCATAGACTTAAAATTGTTTTGTTTAGACCAAAACACACTAGAGCAGTTACTTTAAGCGGAAATACGGAGATTAACTGCTCACAAGTAGATTCCATCGCCCGGAGCATCACAGATTCTTACCCTTTTTCGCCTTTGTTGATGAATTTCTGGACTTCTTTCACCCCCCGCCGGATCTGTTTAAACTTCGATGCTACAAAATAAAATGCGAGAGCTTTCAGGAAGACCTCTCCCCAAGAGGCAGTAAAGCTCGAAACGGGAGTCCATCACAGCCCACCCGGGAAGGGCTCACCCACCCACCCACCAATCGCACGCACCTTTTTTGATGCACTTGTAGAGTTTGCGGGTGAGCTTACGAGAGGCTAACGGCCGCGCTATAGCATTTACGTTTGCTACTAGTTCGTGGTACGACCGTTCTGGGGTTGTTGCCTCGGTCTCCGGCGCTTCCTCGGGTTCCTGGTGCTTGACTCGACCCATAGCCGCAATCCGAAGAAGCCAGAGACCCACGCGACACTTCAAGCCCCAGTCGCCTATTTCCGCTTCCGTTCTCAGAGCACTGGATACACACACCCCGGAAACCAACCATAGAGATTTTTAAAAACCGTTTTTTCCGGCCACCATTCCCCCCCCACCCCCGTTCTTCAATCAACCAATAGGAATAGAAAAGAACGGACGGCCTACCGCTCTGAGTCGAGAGGCCCGACCTCACGTTTTGGGACGCGATGTGCGGCGAGCTTCGCAATCTGCTGTTCTTTGGCGAAAATGGCGGCCGGAGCGGGTAGTAAGTAGCGATCTTTTTTCGTGCTAAGGGCAAAAGTATCAGGGATGCCCGTTGCTTTACATGTCTGAGAAGCAGCGGGTCATCTGACGCAGCTCTATATAGCCAAGCTTCATCCTGTATATCTTGTCAGTTTCACGCATTTTTTTTTGAATATAATTTTTTTATTTTATATTTTTTTGAATATATATTTTTTATTTTGTATTTAGTTGCACGCATTTTATTGACCGGGGGAGTTTGCCTTTTGCCACCTTTTGCCTTCTAGGAACCATTTGTTTGAGAAAAAGTGCCTTTTTAAAAATGTAGTTTCGCCTTTATTATTATTTTTTATAAATAATGTGTTGAACGTACCCAATACTGTTTCCTTCTCCGATTGCCAGAGTTTTCCAGATAATTGCATCTGTTCCATCCCGCTCCTAGGTAGATCAGGAATGTGGAATTTGCCTCATACTCATACCTCATCCTACAGCAATAATATGATTTTTCCCCCCCTTGTTAGAACACAAGTTGATGAATGTCGGGCCCACAGAACCCTGGTCTATTCGAGAGAAGCTGTGCCTGGCTTCTTCTGTCATGCGTAGTGGAGACCAGAACTGGTGAGAGAAATACTGTTAAATGGGCTCGAACATTTGCTGCCAATATGTATTTGGTTTAGAATAGCATGTAGGGTATGTTCTTCAATGGTGCAAAATTGGACAGCAATTTGTGAACGTTATTGTTCTAAATACCAAATAAGGACAAAAGCCATCAGTGATCTTAACATTTGAGAGTATAGGTATTCTTTGACTTAAGATCACAATTGAGCCCAAAATTTATGTTAAGTAAGGCAGCTGCTAAATTAATTGTGCCCCATTTTGTAACCCTTTTACCGCAGTTGTTAAATCTGGGAATACTCCAGTTATTAAGTGAATCATGCAGTCATTAGGTGAATACTTAATAATCACTTAATCTAGATTCTCCCATTGACTTTGTCCCAAACAGAATGGAAAGAT